CCCTACAAAACATTTTTGCAGTCAGTTTCTGTATAATATTTACAGTAGATTTTGCAATACATCTTAATATGAAAAAAAAAAGTAGAGAGAATATATTATCTGAAAACAATCTCTAGTGAATAAAATGATCTTCATCATATTTCCTTACATTACAATTTGGTTACACAGTGAAATGAAACAATTTTCCCTCCAAAATCTGTGTTCCAAATTCTTTCTGGATCTTTAGATGGCTGAACCTCAGCAGAAATCTGTCTAGAAAAGCTATAATAGAAGCACTGGGACAAGAGAAAATATAAAAATCTCCCATTGTAACAGTTCTTAGGTTAGGGGATAAACACGGTATTGAGCCTTAACAGAAGAGAGTAATATAGCAGTTTTTAAGAGGCTATGTATAAGTGGAAGAGGATGAATCTGATGGTTGAAGTCTAAATAATACTATGTATCTCACAACTTGTTGAAAAGCACTTTTTTCATTGGGGGAGATTCACAGCTGCTGAATTTTCAGCAGTTAATAGAGTCCTTTGATTCACAGCAGTGCCCCTTGCACAAAAAATACTGGCCTTTGTGTATTACCAGAAACTAATTTTCTATTTGGCTGAAAAGGGAAAAATGGGGTTATTGCTTCTCCCTCCTACAGAGCTTTTCATTATGCCTGATGCACTCAACTTCTAAGCTCTTCTGAGAAAAAAAAAAAATAACTGAAGAGGCAAGAGGTAGAAAAATGAGCTTGTTAGCACATTAGAAGTGAAGTATCTTGGTGGGCCCTAGAAATTCCCAGTGGTGTGTTAACTTATCACTCTATGCATGCTGGCACTGATAGTCTCCCAATTGATCACTCTCTTTTCGCACCAAAGGTGCTGCCAGGAAGCAAAGGCTGAAGGCCCACAGGAGAACAGTCTCCTATCAAAACAAGCTGTTTTTAAAAGTCTGCTTGAATGGGTAAAATGTTTCATGAAAAAGTAGGGTGGAGACACCTACCTGCTTTTAAAATGCTCTACTTTCAGAGGTCTCTAGAGGAAACCTTTTAGTTTATCCTATTATATCCAAAGCTTATACACAAATAAGGCAAAAATGAAGGCAAGTTACTGCTTTGAATGTGACAAGGACATTCCCATTCTCTAATCTAGGTACCATCTCCTAACTAAAGAAAGAAGTCTCGACACAGATGCTGACTGAGAAGATAATGATGTTTTCATCACACAGTCAAGAAGACATGCTTTTATCAGTTCTAGAAGTCCAATTCAAATGCACACTTAGTACACCCAGAGAAAAGTAATTCAGCTAGCCAGGTTGTCACTCATCCTAAGAATGCGTGAAACCATCTGCAGCCTGCTAAAAACAGAACCCTGCTTAAAACCCAAAATCTGATGTGAACACCAAGTCCAAAGCTTGCTGTATTCTGCACTAAGAAATGAGACGCTCTCCTCAGAAGAACTCCTTTTATGTATTAGAGACTGAGTAGCTGAAATTGGGATACTTATCTTCTATTTGCTTACACTTTGAGAAGATTCTGCTATTTTAAAACTCCAGATTTGTATGCTTTTGTGTCTGAGAGAATCTAGTTCTATGCTGTATTTGAACATAACTATCTGCAAGAGTGACCATAAAACCCCAGCAGTTAATTTCTGCATTACATCTAATAGGCTAGACATTTATTTCTTTAGACTGTTGCTCTCTAGGGAAGAGTTATTAGCACCTACAAATTGCGTGGCACATACAAACTCAATGGCTAGTAATAATAGGGCAATGCAAGCTGTATTCTTACTGCGTGCGGATATTGCCACTGGCATCAGCAATTAAGATGGAATGGGAAGGATGCAAGGACAAACCAATGGAGAAAGACTCTGGCACTGAGAATAACTAAACGCTTAAGCAACAGTGTTGTAAGCTTTCTGCTTCTGAAGAAGGTGCTGACTGGAACAAAAGAGAACGGATAAAAAGGTAAGATATACAGGCACTCATCCAAAGCTGTCAGCTAAAAACTTGCAGATATGTAATCTGCAAAAAGTGTAACAAAAAATCTAATGAGTTCATTATACATTTTCAGAAGGTATTGTTCTGAAAAATACAATCAGTACCAGAAAAAAATCAGGACTTGTACCTTTACAGATCACTCAGATTTAGTCACTTCAGCCAAAATTTCATTTGCATTACAATCAATTTTACTTATTCTCTAAATCTGCAATTATTTCTATTAATACTGAAAATACTATACTTTCCATTATTACCGGAAACGTGCAATTTTTTTAGACCTGTTGATTTGCACTTGGGAACAAGCACCGAAATCCTGGCTGTCAGATCACCTACTTGTGCTTAATCTGTCTGAAAAAGAACATCTCATGTTTGCACCCAATAGCTCTCTGTCACTGCTGATTGTACCACTTCCTCTTTTAACTCAAGCTCTGTTTAAGACTCTGATGGCAGAAGACGCTACATCTTTCAGATGCTTTTTGCACATCTAAGCTAAAACTTTTTCTAAGCTAAAACTTTTTCTGGCCATCCACACGAACAAATTACCTAGGCTCTTATGTCACATCTCAGTTACTGCCATATCCTTTTCTCTGGCTTCAACAAATAAAATTTTTATTCCTTCTTCTATCTACTTGGAGCACTGTGAACCCACTTTTGGAATGCAGTGCTTAGATGGGGCATTCTCTCCAGATAGGCCGACAGTCTGCCATCCCCTAGAACAAGTGCAGGCTACTTAATTTAACTTTACAGTCCATACCTACTTGATCAGCTTTATCAAAACTACTCTTGCCTCCAGCCAGTTAACACAGACAGTCTCCCTCATTCACCTTGACATTTTTGGACAGGCACTCTGTAATTTTTTTCCATGTGGCTTCTTATACATAGCACCAGGTATCTGTCAGTGTCCACAAAATTCCCTCTCAAAACTCTTCCCTTTGCTATCAAAAAAGAAACAAGAACACACCTTGGAAGACTTAAGTCCATTGCTGTGTAGATGACAACTGTTCCTGCTGCCTACTATAGTTTCACACTCCCCTGAATATTGTATCTGCCTTCATTTGTTGTCTTCTGTTTTATACTTGACTTTTTTACTTCTGGGGGCCAAACAACATCTGTGTTGTGCTGTACTCCATCTCAGTATAATAACAGTGGGATCTGTGCTAAGAATATAATGTTCCACAAAAAGCAAGCAGAAAAGCTCTCCTCCTTGCATCTTCATCCACCATCTTAATCTTTTTCCTTTGTATCCAACACAATTCCCTCACATTACCAACTTTATTTTTCTTAATCCGTGGCTTTGTCATCCTTCAGTTTGGTGAGGAAATTGATTTGCTACATTTTCCCACATCTCTAGTTGTTCAGCCTTTATTTTTCCTTTCCTGTAATTTTAATCATTCAATCTCCACAACATCCTGTACTTTCCATTGTTCAGCCTCTTCTACTGTCTCTAGCTTTCAAGTTCTTCTGTTGAATTAATCCCCCCATAGTAATTTCCATAGATTTATTGTATCATTCTGA